TTTGGCTATATAATCAAGTGATAAATTATTGGACACTAATTATGAGACACTCTGTATATAAGGAAGCTCTACATTTGATTTAATATTTTATCAAAAATGTAAATTAAAATGTTAAGCAATACAACGCATGCTCGTTAATCTTCCGCCACGTTTTTTTGAATACCACGAAAATAAAAAGCTTTATTAGGCCGACATGCAGGTTTGCTAAAATAAACAATGTTTAGAAAAAAATACACACGCTTACGATGGAAGTATGGCTCTCGTAATAGTATAAGTAAAATTTTCATATTTTTTATTTCAAAGTGTATAATGTTTAGTTTTCTTATTACTGAATGTTAAGTTTCAATAAAATATATGTTTGCTTATATTTATTTTCTTACAAATCTACTTACAGAGCCACTAAACATGCGTGCAATGTAGGAATAATATATCATTCTCCGTCCCTTGCGCGTTTGCAAGCCTGAACCCATCTCGCTTGCACTCACAGACTGCTACGATGTTTACGACGGAGACGGAACCCTTTTATTGGCTGTAATTAAGAAACGCCGACGAAAAACCGACTTTTTTGTCTGTCATTTCACTTTTGTGGTCAAATTGTATTCCCAAAGCCGAATTTCATAGTCTGCAGGTGGTACAAATCAAGGAGTTTTTGAAAAAAAAAAAAAGTTTGAGTAGCCGCCTCCGGCCAAACGTAGCGATATTTGTTCACTTTAAACCTATTTCAACATTAATGTGCTTATCTTTTGGTACAAATGATGGGAAAAAATCACGCCAGCTCTTAGGCTATAAGTATTTAGTCCAAGCATTATAGAGAAATGCTTACAGAAATTATTACCTGGACAAAAAAATATGACCGTATAGAAAATTAAATTTTAAATCGAGTTTCTTGTTCTTTAAACTCGATCCAAAATGGCGAACATGGTTAAAAAAATCGCAAAGTTGCAAAAAAATGTTTTTTCTAAAATAACTAAAAAAATATAGCACCGATCGAAAAATTTTAAAACAGAAAGTTGTAGGTTTTAAAAAGATCTATCGACTGATTTTTTGTAAGTAAACATATCCTACTATTTTTTTTTTTTAAAAATATAAATATTCAATATTAACCTCCATCAAGTGCATCGCTGTAAAAAATGTTAATTGCGTCTTCAAAATTTTTTTTAAATAAAAAAATTATCTCGGCTCCAGAAAGTCGTAGAAAAACATTTTTTTTTTAAATTGGCGAAAAAATGTCAGCAGTTTCCTTCTTTAAAAGTCATTTTCATAAAATAAAAATTGAAATAGTTATTTGAAAAAAACACCCAAAAAAGTGCAACTTTTTCAGTCATATTTTGATCCTCTCATCTAAAATTTTTCGATCGGTGCTATATTTTTTTACTTATTTTAGAAAAACCGTTTTTTGCAACTTTGCGATTTTTTTTAACCATGTTCGCCATTTTGGATCGAGTTTAAAGAACAAGAAACTGGATTTAAAATTTAATTTTCTATACGGTCATATTTTTTTGTCCAGGTAATAATTTCTGCTAATTTAACATTAATCCGTGACAGAATGCTTGGACTAATTTGCAACAAAAAAAAACTGGTCTGCCGGCCGGTAAACACGAACACGTGCTCTTTGTATTGGTAAAATTTTGAAATAAATATGGAATGAGTAATGAACTACAATTAATAAATTATGAAAATATTTACCAGAGGATCTGATAAACTATTTTGTTTTTTTATTTCTATTTTTCTCCTATTTTATGTTTCTCAATAGGTTCAGGGTGTTTAATACTACATTAATTATAATTCATAACATATTTTATCTATATATTTTTAAGAAAAATAATGAAATTTTTCTGTACATTTTAATTGTCTGGAATACAGTTGCATTGTTATTTAAAATCATTAAAACTGTCTTTACCACAATGTTTCCATACTTCCAACATAATGATAATAATCACAAATATTTCACAAATATGTCTGTTAAATGAAATTAAAATATATAGAACATTAAGGGTATAAAATGAGCATCATTTTGCATTCGACATGCCCAGTAATAAAGAATCTGGGGAATTTGAAGTTTTTGTCAAAAAAGTTGTTTGGTATATCTAGTGTTTACGAAGATAGTTGAAACCGTATAAAAACTAAAAGTCGGCATCTCTTTCCGGGCACAATAAAGAGATGCCGACTTTTAGTTTTTATACGGTTTCAACTATCTTCGTAAACACTATAATAAATGTTTAAATTTTTGATAGTATCAAGTATAGTATTCCTCTGTTTCCACATCCAATATTTTATTAAAACACTGTAGGTCATTATATTATTTTTCTGTGCAAATATTAAAATTATCTGACAATTCTTGTTCATTGCACATATTTTCCCTAATGCGGCTCTGGACGATAATAGGCTTACCAATGTCCTGAGAATATATAGTTACCGATTAAAGAAATCTTTACGTCGATTGCTATGTGGTATTATGAAGTTGTTCTAGTTTGGCATTACGCTAGTAGAGACCGCCACTTCCTGGATGGATTTTCTACTATCTATCAGGTGCTATCGCTGTCTTACCAAAAGTGCGATTTCTTGTCTATAAAACGGCGCCCTTAACCGATCATCATGAAACTTTGTACACATATTCTTGGAGGTATTAGAAGTAACATGGGATACTTTTTATTAAAAAAAATATTTTTTATAAAAGATTTTCTATCACTCTGCGAGCGAAGCCGCGGGTAAAAGCTAGTATTAAATACATTGAAAATATCCATTAACAGTATTTAAAATATTTTTGTGAAATATTAAATCTGAAGCTCTTAAGATGTGATGTGACTTAAAACAATATATTGTATGTGTAAGGCAAGCCCGATTTCAAGATCATCAAAAAATGAAAAGAAAACTAGACATGAGTTTGGAAGCTTATGCATTTTATTTTCTATTTATTTCGATACTTCGGAAACCCATTCACAAACCAGTTAAAAAAATTACAAAATAGACAATACCATTTGTATTATTTTCTACTGATGGTAAGGTATAGCTTATTATAGTAAGCATGTGAAAGAACTTTTTAAAATAAATAGGTAGCGTACGCCACTGGCATTCTTATATTTTAATACCTAGCTGCTTCTAAATAAATAAAAACAAATTTTGTAAAATTCCGGGTAGTCTAATTTAAAGATTAAAATTGTCTAATCCGATATTGAATCTGAACTTAAAAAATCATTCTAAATATAAATATGTAACGAGCGTTCAAATAAAAACGTGGTCGAAGTTGGCTCTGACACATTGGACGTAGGGAGTAGCTTATAGCGACCAACTTTACCTCATTTCTCAACGAGCTGTATAGCAGCTGTCAGTTTCAATAACGTTAATGACTATATAACTTTATTTTAAAGAATAATCGTGATAACAATAACAAACAATTAAAGGAGCTGCGGAAAGTGTCCCCCTCCTTGTTATAACAATAAATTAAAGCAGCTGCTGAAAGTGTCCCCCTCCTTGTTCCAAGCACTTTTCACACCTGTTCCTCAAAGAATTAAAGACATTTTCTAAGATGCTCGGGGTATTGTTAATTTCACGAATCTTGTCTATAAGTCGAGCCTGCAGATGGTTTAAATCAGGAATAGGCAGTTCAAAAATAGTGTTTTTAAGGTAAGGCCACAAAAAGAAATCACACGGCGTAATATCACATGACCTCGGTGGAAATTCATGTTCAGCATTGAGACTTATTAGTCGATTTTGGAAAACTTCCCTCAACATATTCATCGTCTCGCCTGCCGTATGTGCCCTTGCGCCATCTTGTTGAAAGTAAAAGTTTGTAATTTCGTTTTCTTCCAGCTGGTTAACAAAAGGAGCGATAATTTCTTCTCTATACCTTTGCGCAGTAAGAGTACCATTAAAAAAAATAGGTCCATAAATCCTCCTTCGATTGAGAGCACACCAAACTCCAATTTTTTGAGCGTGTAGAGGGCCCTCGACAAAAAAGTTATCTGGTTTTTCAGAAGACCACATTCTCATATTCTGTGAGTTTACGTAACCACTTAAATGAAACCAGGCTTCATCAGAAAAAAAGGTGATATTATGAAGTTCACCGTAGTTGTTTAAAAACCATTCACAAAATACAGCCCGTCGCGGAAAATCAACTTCATGAAGTTCTTGCTGACAAGTTAAACGATAGGAGAACAAACGCAAATCTTTTTTTAACACTGTGTGGCAGGTACCGACTGATACTCCCACCATTTGTGATAAAACACGTACAGAAGTTCTTGGCGCATTTTCCATTATTTGTTGGACATTTTCTTTTAATTCTTCAGTCCGCTTTTTAGGTCGGCCGCTTCCTTCTTTTCTTGTCACACTGCCCGTTTCACGAAAAACATTAACACAACGCTGAACTGCACTTTGAAAAATTTTATACTCAACAACGCCGGGAAATTGATTTTGAAATTCTATGAAACATTCCTCAATAGAATACTTCCATATTCCATCAATCTTGCGTCCATTTCTAAAGTAGGACTCTATGATAAACACTTTTTGTTCTTAAGAAAACACCATGTTAAACGCTTTTTAAAACGAAAATATTCAAATTGATAGCGGCGATATAGCGCTTTGACAGATGACGTTTAAATTCATTTGCTATAAGCTACGCCCTACGTCCAAATTTTCAGAACCAACTTGACCACGTTTTTATTTGAACGCTCGTTATAATAATTATTACTTTGTGTACTATTTTTAAACAAGGGCTTCATGATGTTCCATCCTTTCTCCATCTTTGGTCCACTCTAACATATCCTAACTTTATATTCATTATAAAATTAAAATTTTCTTCACTTATAAATTATATTAAATAGATTTCCATTAAAAGGAGCAATGATTATCGACAGTATCCAACAGATGGCCCCACATCGACCGCACATTATTTTTAGTAATACCAGACGTAACCTAGGTGGCGCTATTTAACAGCAGTTCATCTCACTCTGTTTACATTATTTTCGCATCTCATCTCGTATTTTTCATTTGTATCGGATTGTTCCGTCGTGTACAAGGTTTACGGAGAATCTTCTGTCAAGAATCTTTATTTTGTGTCAAATCCGTCCACAAAATATGTTCAAAATCGCGTAGATGCGTTACATCATGAATTAAATTAGTTCCTCGAATTGCCTAGTAGTTCTTAATCAGTGTTATTGTGAATTTTTAGTGTGCAAAAAAAGAAATAATCGGATATAATTATTACACTGCTTAAAAGGTAAGGTTCACAGTTTTACTTTTTATTTTAAATTATAATCTTTAATGTATTATAGTAACAGCAGCATCAATATTTGATTTTTGAGGAGATCTATGCAAAACTAAATTCTAAAATACCTACATTTTATTGTATGCACTTTATTTTAAGTAAGCATTTAAATAGAGATCTCTTGAAGTTGTCTTAGTTCAACACAGCTATAAATACTTTGTCGTATAGTACTATAATTGTAAACTTGGTGATATTTTTCTGTTTTGTATTTGCTATTAAATTAAAGTATCTCACTTCATGTTGTCATAAGCACTCATACCTAGGTTGGTACAGTACATACATCTTCATTTTATTCGCATGTGTACCTACCTGCCAGGTGCATGTATTTAAATTTGACCTCTATTCGACCAGAACAATTAAGAGTAAATCATAAAATAATCTGTTAACTAGGTATCTATTTTAAAAATTACATGCTAGTGAACTTAAACCCATACCATCTCATGTTTACTTCAAAAGAAGAGCCTTTTACCTATTACATTACGAGAGTATACAACCTAAATAGGGTACAAGACAAGAATACCTACGTTCCTAGGTAGTACCAAGTACCACGTTCTTACATGGAAATTTCCTCGTTTCCACAGAGTTGAAAGCTTAGGACTTATAAAACTTTCCTATTTGTTCTATCCCAAAATCTTATCTATTTTTATCCCTGTCATCTAGGCATTTTTTTAGAAATATTCAAATTTGTATTGCAATCTATATCTTTGAGATTAGACATTACCTAATGCGTTTAAGGTGTCTTATGATTTTGATGAATGTTATGATAGATTTGAAGAGGTAATCTGTTATATTAAGTAGGTAATCCTAAAAGTACATAACTTATTTGCATACTAGAACTAGTACCAGTCTTATTAATTGTTGCTTGGCTTTCATTAAAATGCATACTGATGTATGTAATATTTCAGGAGAATACCCTTTACGGAGAATTTTTAGAACATTCGGTGCTATATGAGAAATGTGAAGTAAAAATTGTCAGTCCAGCAGCCCAATAGAGGTTTTTAAACTTTTTCTAGCACGACGCTACCTAAAATAACCTACTACTTTTATTTTTAAATACCATCGCATTTCTCGAATTATATCTGCCGAGATTTCAACTTCGTTTTCGTTACGTTTACACAGATCTACCGTTCTAATCAACCCAACAAAACCTGAATATTTGCAGCATTTCATTAACTATTCTTTTAAACAAATTAATATACCAGAAATAACAAATCAAAACTACTATTCTCGATTCAGTAGCGCCCTATAGGTTATTTCCAATTTAGTCATGGTTCTAAGTGATTTTAGGGTCTGGTCTTGTACATATTGTATGATAAAGCCCCTATGCAACTTTTCCTGTGAGGGTGTAAAAATAATTAATTTTGATATGTCGGATAGTTTCAGATTTGTATAGTCCGAGGTATGACCATTTTCCTTGGGGTTTTCGTGCAGATGTTCATATCGCACGTAAATGTGCGATATGAACATCGTGCTCCTTTTCCAAATCCAGTTAAAAATAGCTCTTAAGATATCTAAGGGTGTTATGTCGTAATTTAAAGAAAAAGTGCTGATAAACATGACTTGAGACTTTTCATTTTCAATAATAGAATGTTCAAAATTAATGAAATTTCAAAATAACGGTTGAAAAAACCATATTTTATGTCATTCATGTTTACTTGAATTCTTATTTCAAATAAAACTTATTGATGTCGTTATAAACTGTTTTAACAATAATTACCTACACACATTATCTTGTCATTTATCTCGAATGCGGTTAACCATAACAGCGGCAACAGTTTTTGTCATAAAAAAGTATTTTTTCAAATTGTAACACCATGTACTCGCATTCGTTGTTTATAAGATTTTTTTTGTTAATGTGAACGTTTGTCGATGCGAAGAACAAACGTATTGTTTTTTTAATGTTTCCTATCTCCTGGTTTGGTTTAAGTAAATATATTTTTGGACATTAGCGCCCATATTTTTCGATTTATTTGAAAAACGGCAACATAAGTTTTACGAGCAAACCATAAACCTTATTAGTGTATTGTCTGTTGAAACGTTAAATATTTACAAAACATTTTACGTAGGATATCAACGTATTAATTAGATAGGTACCTACATATTGCCCAATCTAAAATTCATTTAAAAATACTACGTTATTTACATTATTTTGTTTACACTGGAGCAGATAACGCACTGGGTAAGTTTGCAGTAAAAATACGAGTCCACCCACGTGTTGCTGGATTTGTATCGAGATTTAAGTTGCGACGACATTTTCAAAATGTGGAGAAAAGCAAAGACGTAATTAAGCATTTCAGTAAATTGAATTACTTACCAATTCATGGTAAAAGGGTAAAACAATCACTGCGATTGACAGAGATTGCTTTCAAATGATTGCGGATATACTTTTTGGAAACCCCTTGGAACCCCCCATTTTTTGTTTCAATTTTGAATTGAACATAAATTTCTGATCATATTTCTCACCTTTAACCTACATCTAAATTGAATTGTTTTCGAGAAAATCATAATTTTGTTGAAAATAATTAGTTAATAATGTTCTACACAGAAATTCAAGGAGAATCCAGAAGAAGTTATAGGAATTCAAGGGTAATTTAGAGGAAGGCAGAGGATTTCAAGGGGAGACAGATAAAGTAGAAGGAATTCAAGGGGAGCTCAAGGAAGTCGGAAGAATTCTAATGATACTCACTCCGTATGACATTTATATTAGTATTTGTCACTGTCTCTGTAAACGCTATTTCTACTTAATGGTTCAGAAGACCTGCCTGTAGCAAGGGAAGAAAGAGATAACATTATTTTTTCTCCAAGTCAATGCATATTTTCACGTCGTTGTTCATACGAAAGATACAATTCAAGTGGACTGTTCTTCATCTATCCTACAGACTTCCGAATAAAAGAATTAATATAGAAAATGTAAAATATAATTTACTATTTTTTTTGTGAATCATAAATTATAATTTAAATTTGAAAAATGTGGTATTACTCCATCTGCTTATAAACAATAGGTATTACATAAATTCGTGACAACTAAGAATTACAATCTCCATGTAAGAGCCTGTTTTAAGTGATTTCGGTGATTACGGGATTGCTTGCTGACAGACTTACTGTCAAAGTTATGGGATTGCAAACGATTTTTGCGAGATTACGATTCCCTAGAAAAATTTACACGTATTGTAGAGAATTATTATCCTCCCGGTTTTTTCATGCACATGGCAATAGAATACTGAAAATAAGAATTTTTCTTATGAACTACAGATTTATAATTTTGTTTTACAGTGTGTTGAAGTTAATTTTATTAAAATTATTTTGTCTATTTCCTAAATTACGCTTAACGTATTGACATTTGGTATGCAAATAATTTGATATATTCGATGCCCTAAATATTCTGGTTCAATTATCTTTCAAATAAGTTTTACAGAACACTTGTATTAGAAACCAGCAGGAATATTTTAGGTCACAACTCATTTGAGGTGAAGATTTTGGGTTTTTTAATATGTGATTTTCTTATGCATTTTTTATTTCTTCATGAAAAATGTACATACTCTTGTTAAAATAGGCTAATAGTGAAAAATTTAAGTGGTTTGTGTAGAGTACAGAGCCTTTATAAACCCGACAATGGATGATTGGTTCTGTTAGCGAAAATTCCCTAAACTTTGGCGTCATCAATATTAATGATTCGTTTACAATGAACAGTGACAAACCATTATGTCTATGTTCGAGATAATGCCATGGCTGATTGGTTGAATAGAATCTCGTGAAAAATTACGTCAATCACAGCCGGTGGAACAGAATGTTGCGTTTTAATGTAATCTTGATTTTATTGTTTTAATTTTACCGATCCGCCAACGTGGAGGAAATAAAATTACTGTTCTAAACAAAATTACTGGTCACTTGTAATCATTTTTGAAGACTATGATTCTATTTATTTTTTTATTTCGATGTCGGTTTTGATAGACATGTTTAATTTTTACGGACTACAAAATAATGTGCATCTGTCATTATATGAATAAATCATAGCTAAGAATGCAAAAATAGTAATTACAGTGGAAGTAGATGTCGAAAAAAATAGTACCTGCATCAAACCTAAATACTGTTTAGACTATAAAGTTTAGAGTAACATACAAAATATAAAGAGATAGAACCACAATTTAAAAAATGTCCCATTAGTTGCCATAATTTTTATCTAGTAATTGAATCTTCAAATGGACGATGGAAAATATTCCTTATTTTAGAAACCCATAATTTTACCAGATACCTACCGCAAACAATAAAATAATATAAAAATTTGGGTAGATATATTGAAATTATTTTAAAATATATTGTAGGGCTGGTAATTATTGGGTTTATATTAATTAGATTTATGCATCACTAAGTTTCCAATAAATGCAACCCTTCTTTTAAATCTAGATGAACATTGAAGTTAACAAAATATCTATCAAATTATGCAAAACTAATTCACTTGTATAGGCCAATCATTAGAGCATTAAATCAGGGATTTTGTGACCCAAATACTAGTAGCAAACGGACTGTGCCATCATGTAAAAAGTAAAATCTGAATGCTATTAAGAGACAATTTGTAGATTTGTAGAGAATCGAAATACGAATAAAACGAGAGGTCGATCGGTCCAATCAGATAATTAAATACGAAGAAAATCTGGAAAAATCGGAAAATTTAGCGCTTTTTCATAAATTCATTACCCTGCGGAATATTTAAAGTTGTAGAGCTGACCCTGTGCACAAAAGTAGTGAATTATATGTACCTTAAGTGTGCATAAGGCAAACGCTGTCGACCATTAGTTTTGGCACAATTGCAATTAGAAATTTTTGGTATTCTTACTATATTGCAAAGTTTCTGGATGCGTTGAAGGATCCGATTTTAATTTTTCAGCCGGATTTTAAAAGTAGAAGTATAATACTACAAAACGTATATTCTAATTTTTCGATAAAATGATGCG